TGGGAGACATCCAAGATCATATTGTCACCATGCACCAGAACCTCGCTGCGTATGAGAAAATCTTCTCGCGGGCGCATGCCAACTACTTGGCCCAGGTACAGGCCTTATCGCTTAACTCGAATAATAGAATCAGCGAGATGTTGTCGAAAGTTACCGTTCTTGGTACCATTTCCGTTCCGTTGAACGTCATTACCGGGTTGTTCGGAATGAACGTCACGATCCCAGGCTACCAACAGGGGAACTTGAAATGGTTTGGTGGAATTGTTGGCGTAATGATTGCCTTTATCGTTTTTGCGTATATAGGCGCCACTTTCTGGTTGAGTAAAGCAGGTAAAACCGACGACGAAGATGGTCTGGGAGCAAAATCCATTTCGAAACTCTCCTTCAAGTCTAGAAGGCTTGCAACAAAGTCTATCCGCAGTTTACCTAGCAGACGTTTTAACCGCTACGAATAGGTGGTGGCTTACGTCTTGTTTTTGTATAATAAAATCGTTGAGAATGGGGGAGATGTGGGGTTAAACTAAATCGCATAGTCTGTAAAGATGAGATGCAAGGATAACGAAAGAGTTGCACTACCGATATTGCTGGCCCTTGGAGAAAGTTTTTCCTACACAAGTATGCATCACCGAAACAGCAACCTCGAAAGTTGGTGTATACCGCGTTGCGCTAAAGTGCCGTGTCACAAGATTCTCATGAGGATGTTTTATCATGATGCAATATATCGAACTCCTGGTGCGGGCTATTCGATATAAATCAATCCGTAAACAAAGGGCTAGTAATTCTGAAAATATTTCATTGTATAGAAGTATTAACCACTGAGGTACGAGAGAGTGTGAAAAATTCTCGCGGTACTTATAATTACAGGACGCCAGTGCACGTTTATCACCGGAGATTGGGTGTCAAGGCTAAAAATAAGCGTTTTATTGCAGATGGACATGCACTCAGCCACAAGCACGAGGTGAAAAAACATATGCAGCTAGGAGGCAGACAATAATCGAGCATGAGAATCAGCCACCATTTATCCGTCTTCTATCCTGCAGCATTATTCTACAAATAGTATCGTGCCATTTAAGTTTTCTCATATGTCTAACTCACTCAGAAGTCCAAGCCGTATCTTTTCAGGGTGGTGCAAATAATCTATTCTTCCAATTCCGCATCCCAACCAAATGACCTAAGCCCGACGTGCTGCGGGGATAAAAGCTTGTACACATGCAAGCCTTGAGTTTTTTTTGCACATGCGTCACTATCGTATTCAAAGAGAGTGATAGACCACCAATGCATCATAGAATTTTTTAGCGTAACATCCCAAACTGTAGACACGCGGATCTCAAGCCTCTTGGCTATATGCATCACTGGTACTTCCAGATTAATTTCTTTGGAAATCATGCCTGTTACGTTAACTCTCGTACGTACAGTGTACTCCTAATTTAACTCTCGCCGTTTGTCTGACGGCGAATGAGCGGCTTTTCTTAGTCAAGGCAGGGCAAAGAGGAATTGGCGAAGCCTGAGCCAAAGTGCTGATCATCGCGAAAAAAAAATATTAGGCCATGCGGCATTTAAATCTATGCGCGGCACCCCCAACATAGATAGTAACTGGGCTGAATATATATCCGCTTTCCATCAAGCTAGATAAATGGTCCTACTCCATCCACTGTCTGATTATTATCATTTCTTTGTTTCATAAATTATGGGTTAAATCAAGCGTTATTCCAATCCCTCCAATTAAAGAAATGTCCTCCCCTCACAGCGCACCACAGCAAGCCCCAATCCGCCAATCGAGAGTGGTCTCCACTAACCCTGAACCAACAACAGAAAGCCTCCGAGTAGTGGAACTTGAACCCGATGCTAAGAGTAATTCTATCAGAAAGATGGAGGAGAAGAATCCCAGACGCCGCCTGACAGTTTCTGGTATGTCTGCTGCCGAGGCAAAGTACAACCCTCGCTACTCTCCAAGGAGCTCTATGGGTTCGTATAGTTCCTCTAACAACTCGGGAGCCTCAGGAGCTTCCAAGGAAACAGAAGAAGATGTCTGTTTCCCAATGAGCCCACCTCGGGTCCGTGTCAACGGGATTGACTTTGAAAGAATGGAAGAGTTCATCCGTGAATCGAGAGATGAAGACGAAATTTTGATGGCACACCACCATTACGATGAAGAATCACCAGATCTTGGTGCTAAGCAGAGGCAAAGCTCATCTATGGAAGATGATTTTTCTAGCGAAAGGATTCAGTTTGACACGGGCCTTAATGATATTCCTGACAGATTCTCATTCTTCTGTTCTGACTCGGAAGAAACGATCCATGCTCCAGATTTTCCGTCTTTGTTGAGTCCAGGTAAAACTGTCCGGGACCTCTTCAGAGATGGAGCGCCAACATGGTGGCTAGACTGTGTGTGTCCTACCGACACTGAGATGAGAATGCTCGCCAAAGCATTCGGAATCCACCCCTTGACGGCTGAGGATATCAGAATGCAAGAGAGACGTGAAAAGGTGGAAATGTTCAGAAACTATTACTTTGTCTGTTTCCATACTTGTGAGACCGATTCTGAGTCCGAAGAGTACTTAGAGCCAATCAATGTTTACATGGTAGTGTTCCGCGGGGGATTCTTGACCTTCCACTTTTCCCCAATTGTGCACACCTCCAATGTCAGACGCCGTGTGAGACAATTGAGAGATTATGTGACGGTCTCCGCCGATTGGCTCTGTTATGCATTGATCGATGACATCACTGACGGGTTTGCACCAGCTATTACAGCCATTGAGCACAAAGCAGATGCCATCGAAGACTCTGTGTTTGCGCGTGAGCTGGATTTTTCTCTGATGTTATTGCAGATCGGTGATGCTAGAAGACGTGTGATGACGTTGATGCGATTATTGACCAACAAAGCGGACGTGGTCAGAATGTTTGCCAACCGATGCCA